TGTCTCCTGTAAGCTATTTCACGAACAGTGCTGGCTGCTGAGCACATGAACATGCATAAAGAAGGCAGTGAGCTTCGACTTGAGGCTTATTCTGTTATATGATTGTTTTGTTTATGCACCTAGGCCTTGCTTCCTATGAAAAGCTACTTCACAAAAGCTTCCTACTATGTAACTGAACAATTGCACCAGATTTGAAATGAGAAAAATACATCTGCCCATTACGAGTCACAACACTGAGCACAGCTTCTATGCAGAAGTAAATAAAACACTTTAAGGCAAAGAAACAAACACAAACTTATAAGCCTTGAGGGTTATGAACTGCTTCACCTATGCATTCCTTACAATACCTGATTCATTGCTATGACACCAACTTGGAAATAAACAAGCGCTGAACTTTGCACTAATTCAAACAGAACTCCACACACAAAATGCCCATTTTATCCAGTGAAATGTGGCTAATTCCAGAGTATTACCTAGAAACTACAATCTTTTCCACTTATCATTTACCTAGGATATCATTTTAATATTCTTCAGTTATGTTTCAAGTCTAAAACACTACTGCAAGGACCTGAGAAATGTTTTTTTTTTGTTAAAACCATAAACCATGGAATTATTGGAAAACTCAAAACTGTTTTAGATTGGAAGAAATACCACAAAATAAGCAAGTAAAGAAAAATCCTGAAAATGAAATCAAGTTTACAGTATTTTATTAAGGCTAGGGACTATCTGAGGTTTAACCATGGTCGTTTTGTGAGGCACTTTTCAAAGCCATCAGCACAGAAAAAAAACACAGAGGAGCACAGAGTGCAAGACTGAACATAATAAGGAAAAAATCAGTCTTATTAGCAGTTTCTGTGGGCAGAAAGCCTTCGTTTACAAAAGCTAACAATGTTCATTAGCTCTGCCATTTATAGGACAAGAAGAAAGATTCAACTTCACGGTTATCCCCCCTCCCTGCTCCCAATAGAAGCAAACTGTGCTTCCCAGACTAGAAATGCTGGATCTAGGCCTCGCATTCGGATTCACAACCATGTGCAGAATGCTGGATTTTCCGATGAGAATGGGTCATAGTTAAGCATCATATTCATTCAAAATTAATTACGTATAACTCTGACTCCACTCATAATTACTTCCTTATATTTTCTTTGGCAGTATATGCACTTTGATTACAGAAAGCATCCAGGGATAAGTGGGGGAAGGAGTAAATAACAAAGAAAAGAGAAGCAGAGGGAGGCTGCACTTACTGTGTTGCATTTCGTCCCACAAACCACTTGCCGGTGGTTCAGCCACTGGGAGGCAAACACTTTATTGAGGGTCCCGAGATGAAATTCCCTCTCTTCCAGGAGGCTGGGAAGCTGCTGGGCTGCATATTCATGCAACAGGCGGTGGTAGCTGGACTCATTCTGCACCCTGACCTCTCTTCCTTTCAGGTAGTAAATCAAAGACCTTTTCACCGGGGGGAGCCTTTTCCGTTTGTGAACTGAGTGATCCCACCCATACTGTGAAAAATAAACACAGAGATTAGACAGAACAAGCAGAACAGATTTAAAATAGCACACTTCCAAGTTCAGAGGCATGTTTTTTGGGGGTGAACAACCGGAGTCCTCCAAACTGGGGGCAAAACGGCATACAAGAAAATTAACTTCTGGAAGCCGGTGCAAGGCCGTTCATGGAAACAGGGGGAAATTACGAGACGCGTTAAAGAGCAGCGGGCAGCCCGAGCAACCCCCACCC